GTTCACGTGAGGCCCGGATATCAGGAGCAGTTTGAGGCAAACCCGGAGCGATATAAGGGTCGGAATATAACATATTTCGATCGCATAGAGCAGGCGTTCACGTACTCCGAAGAGTTAGAAAATTCGTTAATATTTATTCATACGGGAACTTATAAGCCAGACTACCTCATCATTGACTCCAGTGTCGCACTCATCGGGGCCGGTATGTCACGCAGTCATGCATTTATTTTTTTTTGTGTCAATTATTGTGATGTGAAGTAAACCCTAACAAAATGCGTTAATGTTTGTGTGTTTTGAACGCATGAATAGCTGCGGGAAATATAACCGAAAACGTGATTCTCGAGAAAGACAACGAGTCGACCATCACTTTCGTCGACGGCTCAAGAGATGCTTATTTGGGTTACGTGTCACTCAAGTTCTCTCCGGACGTGACCTCTTCAGTGCCACATCACAAACACTACTGCCTTGAAATCAGTGACAACTGCTCGCCAACTATCGACCACTGCGTCATCCGCAGCACATCCATAGTGGGTGCGGCCGTGTGTGTGACGGGTCAGGGCGCTGAGCCAGTCATCCGCAACTGTGACATCAGTGACTGCGAGAACGTAGGCCTGTATGTGACGGACTCCGCGCAAGGGATCTACGAGGAGAATGAGATCAGTCGTAACGCTTTGGCCGGCGTTTGGGTGAAGAATCACGCGAACCCTATAATGAGACGCAATCACATACACCACGGCAGGGATGTCGGGGTCTTCACGTTCGACAACGGGATGGGATATTTCGAGGCCAACGATATCCACAACAATAGGATCGCCGGTTTCGAGGTGAAGGCGGGTGCGAACCCAACGGTCGTGAGGTGTGAGATACATCACGGCCAGACTGGGGGCATATACGTGCACGAGTCAGGGCGCGGGCAGTTCATTGAGAACAGAATCCATTCCAACAATTTTGCCGGCGTTTGGATCACATCGCAGAGTAATCCCACGATTAGACGCAATGAGATCTATAACGGCCATCAGGGAGGGGTCTATATATTTGGTGAGGGAAGGGGTCTGATAGAGCACAACAATATCTATGGCAACGCGTTGGCCGGCATACAGATCCGGACGGCGAGCGACCCGATCGTGCGCTACAATAAGATACATCACGGCCAACACGGAGGCATTTACGTGCACGAGAAGGGCCAGGGACTCATCGAGGAGAACGAGGTCTACGCCAACACGTTGGCCGGCGTCTGGATCACGACCGGCAGTACACCAGTGCTCAGACGTAATCGCATCCACTCTGGCAAACAAGTGGGCGTTTACTTCTACGACAACGGACACGGAAGGCTCGAGGAGAACGATATCTTCAACCACTTGTATTCGGGCGTTCAGATCAGGACCGGTAGTAATCCAGTGATCCGGAGGAATAAGATATGGGGCGGACAGAACGGCGGGGTTCTCGTCTACAACGGGGGCCTCGGAATGTTGGAACAGAACGAGATCTTTGACAACGCGATGGCCGGCGTCTGGATTAAGACCGATAGTAATCCGACGCTCAGGAGGAATAAGATATATGATGGACGCGATGGAGGCGTTTGTATATTCAATGGCGGGAAAGGGGTTCTCGAAGAGAACGATATCTTTCGCAACGCTCAGGCGGGGGTTCTTATAAGCACTCAAAGTCATCCGGTTCTCCGGCGGAACCGTATATTCGATGGTTTGGCGGCCGGAGTGGAGATCACGAACAACGCGACCGCGACTCTAGAGTTCAATCAAATATTTAACAACCGTTTCGGTGGTCTGTGTTTGGCGTCTGGGGTTCAGCCCATTCTCAAAGGGAATAAAATATATGATAATCACAACGCCGTCGAAAAGGCCGTTAACAGCGGTCAGTGCCTCTACAAGATCTCCAGTTACACCAGTTTTCCTATGCATGACTTCTACAGGTTTGTCCATTTGTTACCATTTATGTGCGAGTTATTTTCTATACTCATTGATTACTATTAACTGTGGGACAGGTGTCGCACGTGTAATACGACCGATCGGAACGCAATTTGTGTGAATTGTATTAAAACATGTCATTCCGGCCACGACGTCGAGTTCATTAGACACGACAGGTTTGTTACGTTTATTGATTACTATTACGATTACGATTATGTTAAAGTAATAGCTAAACATTGAGTAGTTTTTAATTTGCAAAGATTTAGTGTATTATTTTTAGATTATAATTTGTATTCAAAATACAGTATACCCGCATGAATGAAGTACTCATTACATTTATAATAGCTTATATAATAGTAATAATTGACTGAATTGTGTTATGCATAGGTTTTTCTGTGATTGTGGAGCGGGAACTCTGAGCAATCAGTGCCAACTGCAGGGAGAGCCTACTCAAGACACGGACACTCTATACGACTCGGCGGCGCCCATGGAGTCGCACACACTTATGGTTAACTGACAACCAATGGATGACTTATGAAAATCTTTGGTCTAATTTAACCGATTTTTAGGCAAATTTCTTGGAATCAATTGAAAACCTTTTGGTTATATTTAGGAAAAAATCATATCTTTTTAATCGATGGCTTAACTGATATTTTTAGTCCAATTATTGCCAAAAAATGTGAAAGAAGTGCAGAACTGCTTAATTTTGAACATTTTATAGTGAAGTGAACGCCAATTTTGATTAGAATAGACTGTAAATACAATAATATAAACAATTTTGTCAGTATTTTCATTATTTTCTTATTCACACATTCGTATGAATGGCACCAAACAAAAAACAAT